AATATGAGAGTTAAGGAATCACATACTCATAAATGTTGGTTTCTTATGATAGAGTTAATAGTTATCTAATAGTAATATCAATACAGTTAACATTCTGCGTTCCACAACAATCATGTTTAATGTGTTATTTATCTGTATTTACATGTGTTAGGCGTTTCAGTCTTCTTCAATTAGGCTGGTTGTCCTTTTCCTTAAAACACAATTATACAGCTTGCAACAGTGACAACAGTACATTGATTGTAAGGAACAAAACATTTACTGAGAACAAGCCTTTTCAAGATTAGGGGAGATTGGAGGGTACCCATAGACCCCATTTTTATTCAGATATTTGAGGTGAAACTTCAAAGGACCCCTCTGAAAATGGCCATGCCAGTTGTTCCCTCCCCAGTTTTTGTGGTGTTATCCAGCCCCCTTCCCGATAAGCTATGCTAACATGGTTGGTACCAATGGATGCCTTCAATTGTCAAGTTTCACCCTAGCGCTAGCTTGAAAATTGCATGCCACAGTCTCTTTAAAGCCACAGTGTGTAGGAATTTCTCCCATCTAACGTTGAAATCATATATTGTATTCAAACAGATGGCGCACTCTAGCACCTCACTGTTTCAAACACGTATTGCAACAACTGTAGCCGCTGTGTACCAAAAAGCTATGATAACACTGATGAAACCATGTCATCCGATACTACATGGAGTATTCATTCAGGCTCCTATACAGACACACGCGACGCGAGTTGACAAACCCCCTCCTCACCATGCTGGCTGTGTTTACAACAGGAGAAAGGTAATACAATCACAGGCCAGCGCTAACAGCGGCTAACAACGGCTAACGGCTAACAGCCGCTAACAGCTAACAGCGGCGCAGTGATGCGAGGAGAGGGATGAGGCTGTTAGCGACTGGCCGCTAACAGCGGCTAACAGCCAACAGTGGCGCTGGCCTGTGATTGCATTACCATTCTCCCTCAGCAGCTCTCTCTACCTGGGAAAGTCTACCCCGATGTGGGCCTTCGTTTTTTTAATTCGTCGGTCACGCTGCCTTTTCTATTCCCTTTTGCGCTTTCTTGGCGACAAGGATTCCGTCTCCCATGATGCTGCATATGCATGATCCTGTATTATGCTCAAAGAGTGGGACTTTGTTTCAAATTTGCCAGGGTAGTAGCGAAGCACCTCTTGCTCCTCTCCTTCGGCTCCTCAGTCACGCAGTGCTGGCCTGGCTCTCAACGATAACGCCGAAGGCGGTGCTGTATGTCCCTTGCTGGCGGGTGTATTCTCAAGATGGCGAAACGTAATGGAACCCCACAGACGACTTACCCGCACAATGTACAAACAAATCCGAAATTCTCCTTTTACGAGAATAAGTCAGATTATTGGTGGATGTAATAGTACACCAGTGATGACATATTTATGAATGCAGACATCAATTTTTGCCAATAAACAACTGAAAATGTTACACAATGTCCCTTTAAAACAGTCATGACGACCTCCACATATTTTTGCCAGGGGGACCAAGCAATTGTATGGGGGCACTTGGGGGCCCCATTGTCTATTAATGGTCCAATCATAGTCTATTGACTGAATTTCTGTAAATATAACAACACAGAAAAAAAGTGAAACTCTTCCATTTTCATGACAACTGAGCAAACTACATGTACTGATGAAAATGAGATTGAAAGCTCCAGACAAAAGCCAGGAAGTGGACCTTTAGTTGGGACTCACTATGAACTTTAACAAATTATGTTTTATCAACTTTAATCAACCGATTATTTGTTTATTTGTTTATTTATTAGGATCCCCATTAGCCATCACTCCATTGTGGGAGTAATGGCTATTCTTCCTGGGGTCCTCACACAGGACACAATTATATACATAGTAAAAACATACAGAATAACAATAACAATCTAGAATCATATATGATAGTTACAAGGAAAAAAAATTATTAAGATTCATATCGAGCTAAAACTACTAGATAGAAAGGTAGAAATGTGGAAATCTGAGATAACTTTCCATGACACACACACACACACACACACACACACCTGGTCAGTTCTCAGCTCTGCATACAAAGCATAAAGAAACGTGACCTGTGACAGCTGCAGTACAAACATAACTCTCTCTCACACACACCTTAACATTAGCTATTGTATCCTCCCTCTTATGAATGAATGATGACAGCCACACACACACACACACGCACACACACACACACACACACCTGCCCACGCTCAGGTGCTGAATAATGTATCAGCTTGATCACATGGTGTCAGGTCTTAACATTGGCATCTCCTCTCGTCACTATTTCCCACAGGTCTGCAAAGGACGTGGACTCAACCAGCACTTTCTCAGGAAGACACACAACCAGTGAGTTTATTACCTGTCTGCTCAGGCTTTAACCTGCATGTTAGGAGTTTTCATCAGCCACAAAGAAGGAAACTGTCAGTGCTCTTCACTGTCTTAAACCCAACCTGTTGATGTTGTTCATGTGTTGAATTCAGTTCAGGTGTTGGTTCAAGTGTGAAGCACTAAGTTCAGATTTGTAGAGGCTACTTCAGGTCTGTATGCAGTTTAGTTTAGCTGCTAAAGCCGTACCTTTCCGTTGTGAAAGCAGATCCTCGGTCTTCATTAATGTTTCAGAGGGGGAGTCTCGCTCTAGTGAGTGATGAGAACAGCTGATGGCTACCATCATGAGGCTGGGACAGGTATACCTGCTTCATATTGGCCTTTTATGATTGCACAGTTTATTTACTGAAGAAATGATCTGGTTTTCTAAAATAAAACATAAAAGAATCAGGGCACCCACATTAAAAAAACATATTTTTGATTATTTTTTTCTTACCTCTTGTGGTATCGAGCCATGCAAGTAGTTATGGTTTTATTTGTTTATTTTGAAGGTTCCGCCTCCAAACCAATACATTTGAGTCAGTCAGTCAAAGCACTGAAAAATAACAATGTGACTGGGGATTAAAGGAACAGTTCACCACAAAATTTTAAAGGCTTGTTTTTCCTCTTCCTTGTACTGCTATTTATCATTCTAGATTGTTTTGGTGTGAGTTGCTGAGTGTTGGGCGATATCGGCCATAGGAATGTCTGCCTTCTCTCCAATATAATGGAGCTAGATGGCACTTGGCTTGTGGTGCTCAGAGTACCAAAAATATAGATTTGAAAAACTCAGCAGCAATGTCTCTTTCCAGAAATCATGACCTGGTTACTCAAGATAATCCACAGACCTTGTTGTGAGCAGTTTCATGTAGGAACTATTTTCTCTCTACTGAACTACACCCGCCAACCATATCACCGTGCAGAAGGAAGTTTGCATCTACTTATGGGTGAGAGGCTTGTGCTCATGACAGTGTGAGATGTAAACATTATTGGAGTCCTTCTTTGGCTGAGCTGTGACGTTAGCTAGCTCATTGGTGCTAAGTAAGCTAGCAGTAAATGGATGCTTCCTTTTGCGCAGTGATAAGGTTGGCAGTTGCAATTTTTTTGTACCAGGCAATAAATAATAAATAAATAATGTTTATTTCTGCTGTAAAGTCTGGCATTTTTACATGGAGGTCTATGGGAATTGACAGGCTCTCGGGAAAGACTCAAAGAGTAGTTGGAGCAACCCAATATCACACAGACTGTCATGCTGTCTTCAGTGACACACCAATAGCGTGACCATCTACATTATCGCTGAGTCACCTCTAAAGTGTTGCTTAAACGCTCATTAAAGGAGCTATATGTAAGAAATCTAAAGCAAATAGTCGTAAAATCCTCCTAATATGTCACAGAGACTAAGGAATAATGTTCATATAACATACTGATCTCACCGACAACAATACAGCCAGAATATTCGCATTTAAAAAATTTTTTTACGGTCCACAAATCATGTTTATGTTTTGAATTTGTGTTTTGGCCTGTTGCGCCACCCACCACCGTCTACCAGTCACACAGTCAGTAGAGTCTCAGCATCAGTTAAAGTTACAACTGAGCTACAGCAGCATGGCAAGCAGCATTAGCAGTGTCCCAGTACATAGCATTAGCAGTCTCCTCAGCTGTATCCCGGCAGCAGCGATAGCAGCAGAGAAGCTGGACTGCTCGAACGGTCTGCTGGAAAACCCAAGATCAAGGACGCGGCGACGTGGCCCTGCCACAGCAGCCGCCCGTGGGCAAACAAATCAGTCTCCAGCATGCCGCTGTCCAGCAACCTCGAATCTGTAGGGGAGGGGGGGGCGGACAAGACTTGTGGCAGTATTTTGAATTTGAGTGCAGTAACCGTTTTGGCCACATTCTTACATACAGCGAAGTAGTTATGTCATGACGGGCTTGGTGTGTCTGCTACTTGCTACAAAGCACCTTGACTGAATGCCATCAAAAGTTTGTATTTCGTCAAAAATGATCAGTGCTTTGGATCAATATAAGTCTCATGTTCACCACAATGCACATAAAGCTGGCCTAATGTCAACTAACTAAGCTAAATAAAAGTGTATCACAGCTAGAAAAAAAACATATAGTTGGCTGATCCACCTTCACTGCATCATTGGAGCACTGAAAAAAAGTTGGGGGCAGCTCAGCTTGGGTTTGTAACGTGTCACGCTGGACTAACATTGCTGTGTCACCCGTAGTGTGAACACAGCATCAGGGATTAGCTGTCTGCTGTTTATGTTCGCTATACAAATGAAAAATGTTGTCTCACAAACTCTTGAGCTTGAGGCAAGACCAGAAAGGATGGCCTTGGTTCCTGTCACCATGCTTATGCCAATCACAGATAGCAGAGATCGAAGGACTTATTAATCTTTTTCCATTGTGACATTGATACTTTGACGAAAGTAAATGATTTAAATACTTCTTTCCACAGAGTTTGTGTCCTCCATCTGGATCTGTGGCTCCTGAACAACAAACCTAACAAAGATAGAGGTTGATTGGGAGACTGATCATGGAACTGAGAGAATGATAGAGGGAATGACAGAGAAAAGATAGAAGGAGTCAAAAACACACATCAACAGGTGATAAACAGGTGCAGCGATGGCGGCGTGGCTGGGCAGGGTGTCTTTGGGTGACGCTTGGTACAACATGTACTCTCGCCTGCTGCGAACCAAACCTGTGGGCTCCATGGCTCACAGCTCCAACGACCTCACAGAGCTCGGGGAGGGGGCGGCAGTCGGGCTCGCCAAGGTTCTGACCACCATGGACCTGGTGTCGCTCGGGGTTGGCAGCTGCGTTGGCACAGGGATGTACGTAGTCGCTGGGCTGGTTGCCAAGGCGATGGCTGGGCCAGGGGTCATCCTGTCTTTTATCATTGCAGCAGTGGCATCCATACTGTCAGGTGAGACAGCATGAGGTGACACAACAAAGCATTGTTCAGTGCATTTGTTGGGGACTATTTTTAGTGGTGGATTAATCCACATTTGGTGCTCTAGTGAGTAAGTGTGGCAGTAGGACGGTGTGTGGGGGGTTAAGTGTTTGGACAATCTACTCTAATCTAATTTTTGTCTTTAGGTGTGTGCTATGCAGAGTTTGGCGTCCGAGTCCCAAAGACAACCGGCTCGGCCTACACCTACAGCTATGTGACAGTTGGGGAGTTTGTGGCGTTTTTTATTGGCTGGAATCTGATCCTGGAGTATCTGATTGGCACGGCAGCGGGGGCGTCGGCTCTCAGCAGCATGTTCGACTCTCTAGCCAATCACAGCATCAGCAATTACATGATAACACACCTGGGCACGCTGAAAGGACTCGGTCAGTACTAGCCGTATGTTTATCATTTTTCAGCACATTAAGAGCAAATTAAAAGTCTGTTTTAGGCTGAACATGCTCCGCTACATATTTACAAATAACAGAAACTGATTTGTATTTGGTCTAAAGGAAAAAGCAAAAAGCTGTAGTTGTCATGGGAACTATAGACTGGAACAAGAACCAAATAGTAAAGTTAAACAACTGACAATGACTGTAATTTACAAATGTATCAGGATTCACTTACATTACTAAATACAATAAATACAGTTGTCTCACTCCAGTCCTTGATACAGTAGAGTTTATATACTTTGAGTATTACAGCCACTTTTGGGGGGAAGAATCCTGTTTTGTCAAGTCCTAAGTTGTAATATTTTAAGAAACAAAAGTCAGATATTACAAGATTAATTGTTCATTTATAGCTTTATGGAAAAGGTCATAATATTAGAATTATAAAGTTCTAACTGTATGACAAAAATATATAGTTTGATTTATTTTAAGAATATAACATCAGTATGCTAACATACTGATGTTTAGCATACATAATGACTTGGGATGAGTATGCTAACATTCGCTAAAAAGCAGTAAACTCAAAGTACAGCTGAGGCTGATGGGAATGTCATTACTTTTGTAGGTATTTGGTTATAAACCAAATTATTGGACACATTAAAAAAAGACTCTAAATGGGAAATTAAAGAGTAACTTAACAACAAGCTGAAAAGCAGAGTTTTGCTGTCTGCTCTTGGAAAAAGTTTAAAGCCTGTTAGACCTCTGAACACACCTTGTACCACCAAAAGGTGTGGTTGGGTGTTAGAGACCTCATGGTGTCCTGGAGTCCACCCTTACATCACTATAACAGAGTGAGACGTTAAACCACTCGTGGGCGGCAAAGACAAAATGATCAAATTCATCTTGAGAGGAACATGAATTTTTGAACCAAATTTCATTGCAATACATCCATCAGATGTTGAGATATTTCAGTCAGAAAAACAAATGAAACCCTCATTGTGGACTTAGAGGAAAATTCAGAGGATCACCAAAGTCAGTAGGATTCATCCTCTGGGGAACATGAATGTCTTTAGAGTAAGAGAGCGGTAATGAGAACTTGTCAGATTTCATCCCATCCATCATATATTTAAGATATTTCACACACACACACACACACACACACACACACACATGGACTTGACCACCTTCATGCCAAATATCAGCCAAAGAGTGAGGAAATTTTTGTGGACCTACAGAGAGAGCTATAGAACTTCTAGTCAAGTGCTGCTGTGTGTCTGTTCGTCTCAGGTAAAGGTGAGGACACATATCCTGACCTGCTGGCCCTCTTCATTGCCCTGCTGGTCACAGTGATCATTGCTCTCGGTGTGCGTAACTCTGTGGGCTTCAACAACATCCTCAACGTGGTCAACCTTGTGGTCTGGGTCTTCATGATCATCGCTGGACTCTTCTTCCTCTCCGCCAGCAACTGGGAGAACGGCATGTTCCTGCCCTATGGCTGGTCAGGGGTGAGATATTCAACCTCTTTGGTGTTTTGTCACTTCTTTAAATCCTCAAACTGACTGAAATAGTGAATAAATGATCTCCTGTTGTTGATCAGGTGATGCAAGGTGCAGCAACTTGCTTCTACGCCTTCATCGGCTTCGACATCATTGCGACGACAGGAGAGGAGGCAAAAAACCCAAACACCTCCATCCCGTATGCCATCACCGCCTCACTGGTCACCTGCCTCACTGCATATGTGTCGGTCAGTACACAGTGTCGTGCATGTTCATAACACAATGGAGACAAGTTACAAAATCTCACCATCAAATAGAAGTCTTTTGGTCATATTCATTTCTGTTATCTCCCGGGCAAAAATGCATCAACAGATGCATGTTTTGCTCAAGGAAAGTTTTACAAGAATAAAACCTCAATGGATCAATCATTCATAACAGGAAGAGTCATAACTGACCTTGCTAGTAGTTCAAGGTGTCCTCCTGTCAACAGTTTTACAAAAGTCTCATTTAAAATGGTGGTCTATAGGGAAAATGCTTTTTGGGCTGCAGAGGATTTTGTCATTGCAGTACAGCAAATGGGTCTTGTTCATTTTGCCATTTTGGTCTATGGGCTTTAATGAAGCTTTTCAGAAGTCAAAAATGAACTGTCAGGTTTGAAACTAACTTGCAAACATTTGCAAATTGGTCTGGTGATGTCAAGCTAGTGAACCTACTGAGGTGAAGTATCTCCATCACCATCTGACCCTTTCATTTTTGTACATGGATAGAGAAGGACATACAGTGAAAACAGGTGGCCTTGCTGTCTAATGCAGGAGCCCTGAAGTTGTTACACATTTCCTCTGTATAGGTGAGTGTGATCCTGACCCTCATGGTTCCCTACAACCTGATCGATGGCTCAGCTCCACTCATGGAGATGTTTGCGGTGCATGGTTTCCTGTGGGGGAAATACATTGTGGCTGTTGGCTCCATAGCCGGACTCACCGTCTCTCTGTTGGGCTCTTTGTTCCCCATGCCTAGAGTCATCTACGCCATGTCCCGTGATGGCCTGCTGTTCAGGTGAGGAGGCATGAAAACACACAAACAAATACAGGTAGGATGAGGGTTTCATTTCCTGGCTAAATCTGTGATTAATGTGTCTGCAGGTTCTTGTCTCATGTGTCTGCACTCACACACACTCCCACGGTGGCATGTTTGGTGTCAGGGAGCTTCGCGGCCCTCCTTGCTCTGCTGGTTAGCCTGCGGGACCTGATCGAGATGATGTCCATCGGCACCCTGCTGGCGTACACTCTGGTCAGCGTGTGTGTGCTCTTACTGCGCTACCAGCCTGACGAACAGACTGACACACACCAGTATGACTCCGGAGAGGATGTAGTTGGCCTGAAGCTTCAGGATGACGGAGCTGTCCCCACCAAAGACGACCAGATGCTGATCGGAGACTCAGATGGTGACAGATCAGCGTCCTACCACGCAAGCGGGACTGAAGGACAGGGGGACGACTCTGACTTCCACACAGGCCATGCCTCTCTACTGAAAAGGCTTTTGGGAGGTCATTACTACACCCTGCGAATGCGGCTCGGAATGCCTGAAGCGTCGGCCCAGCCCACTCCTGCCACTGGCCGCATAGTGACCAGATGCACCCTCCTCTTCTTCCTCACGTCCTTCCTCCTCTGGTCCACCATTATATTTGGGGTTGAACAGGGAACTGGTGCCAGGGCAGTGTTTTCAGGCCTCATGGCCACACTGATGACCGGGTCCTTGGTGAAGCTTTTAATTATGATTATACAGCAGCCAGAGAGTGGGAGGAAGCTGCCCTACATGGCGCCCTGTGTGCCATTTGTCCCTGCAGCTGCCATATTGGTCAACAGCTACCTTATGCTTAAACTGTCTCCACTCACCTGGGCCAGGTTCACCATTTGGTGCCTCATAGGTGAGATGAAACATTCTTGATTATGGATCTCAAATGCAGCATATATACATAATAAGCTGTCTGGATATAGAAAATAATGGACCTAAGCTAGGTAAGGAGGAAATCTGGAAAAGGCAAAAAAAAAATCTGTAGAATTTGAAAACACACCCCCCTCCTGCAGCTTCTGAGTCCTAAGTCCCTCCCACCAGGTGACCACTGATGCTTCATACAGAAACCCAGTGTTTCCCATACACTGATTTCCTTAAACTTATTTCATTGTTTCCTTGCCTCACTCTCTCTCTGTTTATCAGACCACAACTGAAACAAAAATAAGCTGTTAGCCACCCTATGCTCCCTCTGCCTCGCTCCCGGCTATTGTGGACTGCTTCCCCCGGAGGAAAGCTAGCAGCAACAAGAGATGGACCTTTTGTTGGCAGCTTGAATTTGACCAGCACAAACCCCCAGTGCCGGGTGTCACAGCAGGTTGGTGGCTAGCAGCAGCACCAGGTCTAACCTCTGGAATAGCAGCGACAGAAAGTGTGCTGATCCAGTAGGAAATCAAGTCTGTCTGGTCCTCTGGAGCTGGGGTTTAGACAGGCTGGATTTGGGCTGCTGCAGCCTGTCTGTCTCCGGAGATGCTGGCGAAGCAGCCCATTCTCATTCCCAACTCTTAGATACTGCCGCTTTGTCAGTGATTTTGGCATCAGATTTCGTTGTACAGAAGCACTTTTGGTGGCGAAATGATATGCATCGAGACAAGTGTCAATTGAGATGTTATCTGTGAACATTCAAAACTGGCATAGCAGGCTACCTAGGGTGTCATATTTTAATGTTTAGGTCCACTGACACAGCGGTAATATTTGAGTTTGGATGAAAATGCACTGGGTGAGGTGGTCTGTAGTGGCGGAGAGTGAGGCGGCAGACTCACTGTGAGTCAAGGCTCCAGCTAACATTAGCTACATAATCGTGAACATGAGTTGCAGCCTTGAGCCTTTGGCTTCTGTTAGTATAAGGCTAAACTAGCAACATTTTCTCTCTACCTCTGAAGTACTGACCCATGTTTTATGCAGGTGCAGAGGTCTAGTTGTCTCTCAGTTCATGTAAATTACAATATGCTCAGAGGTTATTATGGGATTTTTGCCCAATGATGCCAAAATTTAACTGCCTACCCCAGCTTTAAGAGGAGCCAACTCCAGTTCTTTTATTTCTATAGTGGAACCTTAGAGTGCAATTTAACTATTAAACAAATTACACTAATAGAAAAGTAATAGAGGCTGTATTTGTTCATCATCTGTTGTCAAGGTGCGTTCATGGTCAGTTTAACCAATGGTTAGGTTAATATGGCTGGTGAGACTTCACTAGTAAAGTAACCTGGATGCAGTATAATTGAATTATAATTGTGGTTAAACTGTTTAAGAGTATTTTCCATAACACAGATGTGCATTCATGGTGTTTAAATTCAGTGTCTGTGATTTAGAGTAATTTAAAAAGATTGCCTCTCCCACATGAATGGGTCTAAAAGATAAGAAATGACATTACAATACAACCTTTAAAAGACAAATCCATCTGGAAGAGGATTTAAGGCCTATGGATCTGTTTTGGCATCTGGTTTCAGTTCAAGAGCTGTACCAGAACTTATTTTTAGTTTTTGTCTATCATATAGGCTCTGCTGTGCTTTTAGCTCTTCCTGTGGGTTTTTGCACAGTCAGCACAGTTTGAGACACCAGACTGACGCCTATTTACACTGTGCTGGGAAGGTTACTTTTGAAATAGAATATGTAACAGATCTCTAGTTACCCTGTAAAAAATGTAATGAGTAATGTTTTATGTAACTATTTTAATTACTTCATCAGAATAATGAAACTTATTACATTTGTCTACTTTTTGATTAATTTTTTTACAGTGCAAACTGGTGATTTGTCCAGAAATAAAGAAGGCATTGCTGCCTGACTGAAAAGATGCAGAGCAACACAATGAATGTTAAATTTTACATATATGTTTTTTTATTGAAAAAAAGAGTTTTTAATGTAACCCCTGCATCATCACAAATATTTTGTTAAGTAACTATAATCTAATTACATATTATCTGAGTAACTGCAACTGATTGCAATTGCATTTATTTTGTAATTTAACTCCATAACTCTGTTACATGTAACTAGTTACTATGCAACACTGTTTACACATGGTTTGTGCTGAGGAAAGTGTAAACTAGACATAGCATAAGATTGGATGTGGCTCTTAATGAGGGCTCTTCTGCGTTCATGGTGTTGATGTACAGCAGTCCAGTTGCCTTGTATCTTTCTGCAAACCATGAGTATGTGACATTTCCACCTTTCATTCATATAATCGCAGCATTTCTGAAGTGATGTAGGCTAGTATATGAGCTGACTTTGTCATCTGGAAGTGGAGGGGATGGTGGACATTGTGACACTTAGACGAGACACCTGCCAAGCTGCAGACCATTGTTAAAGACCAACAAACAACATCAGTTGTTTTTTGGCAAGTCATCACTGCATTTCCACCAGCTTTTTAGCCATCAAACATGGGTGTGTTATGGTGACCTGCTGCTGTTTTCCTGTTAGCCTATCAGGCACAAAAAGCGGTTGTTTTTTCACAGAGACATCACAGCTTTTACAGGGTTGACAGCAGAGAGAAGAACATACTGTAGACCTAGGCTTTGTTAGATCTGCAGATTGTTGACAGATGACAAAATGAGGGAAGAGTTTCCCACCTTCTGAAATTAATAATGCTTGCTAACCCTCCTCCAGCTGGACATTTTTTTTACCTGCTGTCTTTGTGTTTAACTGTCACCGTCTGTCTATCCTCAGGTTTGTTGATCTATGGTTGTTATGGAGTGTGGCACAGCACACTGGAGCTCAATGCCCGAGAACAGCAGGCACACGCCAGCTCCTACCAGCGCTACGATGACCATCTTGACGACGACACCTTCTCCCCTGATGACAACTTTTACCCCCAGGAACAGGACGACAGACCTTACCAGGGCTGGTCTGCTCCAGAAGAGAGGGGATACCACAACCAGCTGCAGCAGGAGAATCAGTATGAAGATGGTGAGCAGTATCAGAGCCAGTATGAGGATAATGGTGACCAGTATGGATACCAGTCTGGACCAGGAGGCCAGCCTGCAAGCAGAGGCAGAGGAAGGACCAATCATGGCTTTGATGCAGGTGAAGAGGAGGACTGAACAAAGGATGCTTCTGAATTTATGACAGGATGAACTGAACTTTCAAAGTGCCGTCTACATGAGACACTAAATCAAATAACCTCCAAGAAAAAGTTACATCACAGGATTTTATTTTAATATTTAAAGGTGAGCCCCTCCCTCTGTCTGCTTAGTGTGAAAACCTGTTCTGAATATCAGAGGAGGGAGTGGGGGAGGGGATGCAGTGGACACCTCCCATCACAGATGTTTCACTGAATGAAGGCCGCCGCAGCTGCTCAACCCTCAGTTAATCATTTGGTCTTTTTTTCACCTTAACAGTGAATCTCCACCACCATCTGTCTTGGTTCATACCTTCAGCCTAAATTTGCATGTTTGTATGAAAAACAGTGGTGTTATAAGACAGAACTTCCTTCCGTAAAAGACAAGATTTAGTGCTTCTCGTCCTACTCAAAATGTTCAAACGCTGCACTTTGAATCAATGGCTACCAATACAATGCTGGTACTGTTAGGCTGTGTTCTGACCAACATTACCCGCTTTCTTCTGTTGTAGAAGTTGTAAAATCCTGTCAAAGTTGACAAATCTCTGTGTAGTGTTATGGCATCTGACAAGCTTTAAATTCACAGATTCCTCAAAGTGGACTTCTCTCCAGTATCTGAAAGAAGATGCCAACACCACCAATGCCACCCCTTGCATTGTTTTCGTTGGTTTTTGACGTGAATATCCTTTTATAAATGGGTTATGAGGCAATGATCAGCTCAGCATAGATGCATCAAAAGCCCCCCCTCTTACCTACTGTGTACAAGCCTAAATATGCACTGTGCAGTTCTATAATGTAGCAGAAAATAAGTAAATATCTGATCAAAGATATCAATATTAAAGGAACAGGAACAACAAAAATGTGATAGAGACATCCTTACTTTCGATGGAGCCCTTTGATTTTCCAAAGTAAAATGTTAATATCAGTCAATACAGAAGCTTTGGCTTTAGGACCTCCTGATCCCAGAGCTCATGGGACATGGGGACAGCAGAAGTCAGTGTTCCAACATGAAACCGAATGTGAAAGAGGATTAAAAGATGTATTTCATCTCTACATCTTGTGACCATTCATGGCATCTCTGAGCATCTTAACTGCGGCTTTGTGAAGCCCTGAAAATTACTTTTGTGTTTGTTTGTTTTTTGTTTGAGTGAATGGTGTTTACAGTGAAAGAGTGTTTGTTCTATTTAGTGTCTTCAGCAGCAAATTGTGTTCATGTGTGTAACTGAAAATGGGGGTTGCAGGAATAAATGTCTCATTTTGAGAGAAATTATTTTTCTAAGACTCTTAATTACTGAAAAACTTTTATTATTTGTAGTACCAGCCAAAGATCATACAATACAGGTGCATAGTTGATACATATTGGTTACACTGTTAATATGAAAAGTTTAAAATTGCAAAAGGTTATACAGTTATTAGTACATAAAACAATATTTGTATGGGATTAAATGAGAGCAGGTAATCTTAGTCTTTAATTCTCTGTACTTCAGCCAATATTCTTAAAATGTGTTCATGCTTATTATTAAAGTGAAAACAGACAATTTTTCAACTTTTCCTTCGCTAGCCTTTCCAAGTGGTATTATTATTGGCACTGCTGTCACAAAGTCAACCAGATCACTTTCTGTTTTCCTCAGAGCCGAGCAACTACAATTTACCTAACTTAACTACAGTTTACCCAGTGGCATTGTCAAATATTCAACCAACTGTCTGCTTATCAACTCCTTGATTGTAGTTTAGTGACTGCTTATGTCAGAAAAGCCATCGCAAGAAAACAAGTTCTTTGTTTAGGTTATTAAACAAAGAATTAATCTTAGATGTTTGTTTGTGGCTGCTAGGGTTAGTGTTACTTTGCGTAGCTGCCATTAGCAACATTGATAACACTACCAGCCAGAAAGTTATTTGTTTCTAACTACCAAGGTTAGTGCTAACATAAGCAGCATGGCTAACACTAGCAGTTACAAACAAACACAGATGTTTTGGTGCGCTCCATGTGGGAAGTTAGAATTTTAGAGTTCCCAGTTGAAAAATCCAACTGGAATGCCCCCTTAAGTTGGATTTCCAACTCAGAGAGACTGGGACCCTCACCCTGACGTTGAAGTCCAAGATGGCTGCTCCGCGCATCAACAGTAGTGAAAGCTGTATTAATATACTGTTCGCACCTCCATCAGCGCTGACAGTGCTGTCAAACTTCTGTCTGTGGACATGTTGCTATGGTGTTTGTATGCAAAAAATACAGTGTAACAAGTTGTCATCAACTGGTATTGCTAACAATGGCTAACTTGGCTAGAACTGGTATTGCCAACAGCATCTTGGTTTGTTTTCTGACTTACACTGGCACATGATCAACTTGGGTGTGACGTCATTCCCAGCTTCAACCTAAGACTTCCGAGGTAAATAGAATGCAGGAATTGTTTTTGGTTGCCAGGGATAGTGTTAGCTAACATAGCTGGCGTACACTACTAGCCAGAAACAAACACAGCTGTTCCTGGAACAAACTAAGAGTTTTTTTCAGTTGGTCCTGGCATTAGTTGTAGCTCCTGGCTCAGGAATGCCCCAGGAATGAGCCCTAAAACCCAGAAATGACTTAGAATTTTTACACTCCTGGTTCCCTTGTCTCATAGTCAATTTTTTCTAATGGGTTTTTGGTTAGATGCCTGAAATAGTATCTGTGGTTAATACAAGCTTAAGAGACTTTTTTGTTTTGTTCTACAACATAAAATTCGTCAGTAAATACCCCACTTGTGGGTTTTGACTTTTAATGTGTCTTGAAAAAGGTGGTTGCTAAGAATTGGCTGAATGAGATGACAGAATGTCATCACACCGCAGATTTTCAGCCCTTTTGTGGTGGCGATGTTAGTCGTGCAACCATGGTGTAGTTCACTAATAGCCTAATGTTAGCTTTTTAATTCTGCTGATTGCATTTGGACTTATATTAAATTATAAAAGAGGTGTTCATTTGCAAAGATTAACTTGCTGAACAAAATATGTAACTATCATAAACATTTGTTTGGCACAGATTTTTTTTCCTGCAATAATCCAAAATCTAATGGAAAAATCACATAGGCTCTTTGAGGAGGTAACCAGGGCAATGCTAACTTCTGCCTAAGCTTACAGAAAGACGTTATCCCCAGAGCTCTATGTTTTCTTGCTTCCCAATTTAAACTAGATACTCAGACCTCAGTGCTATGATAAAGGCAGAGTAAAAAGCCAGTAGTAGTAATAAGTAGGCAGGTTTTGTTTCTTACTTATTTAGTATTGTGCTGTAAAACATTATTATTTTCCCAGGAGATTGTACCCAGTGGCAGACAGAATTGTAACAGGGAGGCTTAAAGGGAATCAACCTAAACACTGATGGTGTCATTATTCTATAGCATTGAGAAATCAACATCTACTTCATAATGATAAGTTAAAGCAAAAAAAAAAAAATTGTCTATTGCCACTGTAAAATCTCAAGTTCTAAAATGGCAGAATCTCATCAACACATACAAGCAACAGTTTGCTATTTCAAAATTATGTAAAACTGTAAAATCTGCATAAAGACAAAAATTCAACCAACCAATGAGATTATTTGTGCCTCAGTTCCTGTAGCTATGATTGGCTCCTTGCTGCCCTTGTGCAAGGCACTAAACCCCAACATGCTCACGTCTTATGAGTTGGATCAGCTAAATCTAAAAATTGCATATAAAACAAGGGACAGACAACCACATCTTCTTCACACTCGTGCACTCTTGGCGTGGTTGGCGGGGGGATCCAGCGGCGTGGCAGTACCCCCCTGCCTGGAGTAGTAGAAGCTGTTGTCCCTGCTCGGGGTCCCAGGGTCGGTGCCATAGCAACACAAGATAACTGACCCGCCCAGGAGACAGAGAGCAGTTCCAACCCAGCCGGCGTATAGAGAGAAGCCAAATGACATCAGACCCTCATCTTGGTGAACACCGATGGGAAACCAGACAGTCGATATGATGCCAAACACAGCTGGAACAGATGAAGACGGAGGAGTTAGAGAGGACACATTTATAAAGATAGATGTTAAAAAGAAGGGTTAAAATGAAACTTTCTTGGGCCTTTAGTCACATCTGGACATGGATTCACTGTCTAAAGCACTGTTTGCATGAGTATGGTGTCTGTATCAATCTGGCTGTCTGTCCCTGAGGCTGTTACAGGAACTACCTGTCTTGCCCCACAGGAAGGAGACCAGTCTGGCAGATGAACCCGGGCAGGATGAGGCCTGGTCTGACAGACCCTGACCCTCCTTCCTCCCTCCTGCAACAACTGGGAAAGACCCGAGTACTGAACATCCTAAAATTACTGTCTCCTGAGACAAAAACTAATGTCTCCTTAAAACCTCTACATGTGTCCTCTAAAAACTAAACATGTCTCTTTGAACCAAACCGGTTCTCTAAAACCCAAAATGTCACATAAAACCTAAATTACTGTCCTCTCAGGCTGTTCTCATCCCCAGGTTGTCAAATACACTTTGTCATGCCCCTCGGCACGTGATGTTGATGGAAAGGGGACCCTTTAACTTCAATGCAATACTGAGAGAGCAACTGATGTACTATAAAGAGCAAGAAAATCTGCGTAAGGTAGGACAGAGGGGAGGTTGATGACAAACAAAACAAGACTTTCACCCAGGACGTTTCACCAACAGTTTGTGAAACCAAAAGTCAGTGTTGTTTTAACATAATAGTATTGTCATCATGCTTTCACGTCACTCATCTGATGTATTTACGTCACGTAAGCAATTTATTTTGTTGCCTCAACCTGACTGCCACTGTTTCCTACATTGACAACCACATGCTCATGTGTTTCAGCTGTGCGTCACATTGATACTAAAGGGTGCCTTGTGTGTCGCTACCAGACGCCAAGGGACAAGACAAAGGGTTGGTATTGAAGACCTGGCAATGATAATGGTTGGTCCTTTTAAACCAAAACTTTCCTCTAAATCAAAACTACCGTCCTCTAAAACTAAAATTGTCCCCTGAAACCAAAATTACTGAAATAATGTCTTCTAAAATGTTCTTCATATCATATCATATCATATCATATCATATCATATCATATCATATCATAATCCATTATTTCATGGCATGCATTTCCTCAGTGTAATTTTGGTGTTACCACAGGGGGGTGCAAAAGACAGATATTTTTAATTTCTACTCACACTGGCAAACTATCAGACAATGGCCCCCTCTGTATTCATTTAACCTCGTTTTGTATGGTTGTTTTGCATTCCATTGTCGTCATCATGCATCTTTTTGTGGTTCTGTGTCTCTTTGTTGTAATTTTCTATGTGTCTTTATCGGATTTTGTGTGTGTGTGTGTGTGTGTGTGTGTGTGGGGGGGGGGGGGGGGGGGGGGGGGGGTTTGGTCATTTTGTGTGTCTGTGGTCATTTTGCCTCTTTTTTCTGGTTACTTTGCAGTTCCTTTGCATCTTTTTGTGGACTGTGATAGGTTACCCCGTGGCCCGCTGACCATTTCCTAAGGCACAATGAAAATGAATTGGGATTACTGGGATTTTAATTAATTCATTTATTGTAAGGTAATTTAAATTTAAATGAGATACCAGAGTGAATTAAAAAGCATGCTTGTTTACTGCATCCCTTGGACCCCATTAACAGAGGTCCGAGCTAATTATTTATATGCAAAAAATTAATTAATTAAAAATAAATTAACTGGCACCTGCCCTCCTCATTTTGCAGAAATGGTCCCCGGGTAGAGCAAGTTGAATATCACTGCTGTAAAGCTAATTGATAATCCAATATTGCCCCAAAAGCACGGAATTGAACGAGTGGACCACTCACAATGTAGGTTGCCTCATTGGTATCATTCATTTGAATGATACTGGCCCCATCAGAACATGAAACATAAAACACGTACTCCCTTATTGTTTTAGTCTTCAGAATGTGTGTGTGTGTGTGTGTGTGCTGGGGAAGTCTCTCCTCACCCATGATGATGAAGAGGATGCCTCCCACCCGGGCGCGTCGCTGCTTGACGGCAGAGTTGTCGTTCTGCAGCCGCACGCAGGGCATTGACATGAGCACCAGCAGCATCGCGGGGAGACCGAAGAGACATGCGCAGATCATCAGGGCACGAGACGTTTGGACGTAGGCTGAAAGAGAAAGAGAGAGAGAGAGAGAGAGAGAGAGAGAGAGAGAGAAGGAGATGGGGTTATAACTGAAACATGTGGCAGTTTTACATTTTTGATCTAAATCTAATACTGTCATTAATGAGTGTGTGATGCAATAATCTATCCCCCAGTAAATCTGTCTAACCCTTTTACCTGGCAGGGTGAGGATCTGGTTGAGGGCCACACAGTGATAAAGCGCCGGAGAAATGACGCACTCTGCCCAGAGTCCCCTGGAGCCCAGCTCGTCCATACGGACGCAGGTGGCCACCGTGTAGTCGCAAGTCCGGACCCAGTCGTTGGTGGCCGTGGCGACGATGATTCCGACCCAGCCCGCACAGCTCGCTGCGCTGCCGGTGATCTGCCTGCACATGTGTGCCATGGAACCGCCGTGCGTATTTACGCGCCAACAAAAATCACAAATTTTTAAAATCACTTTTAAAAATGCGGGATTCTTTTAAACAGATTACAGGGTTTTGATATGTTTCTCTCTCTTTCTGCTCTTATATGACGTTAAAAGCTTTTGTTCTTCCAGAGACAAAAAAAAACTCGATCTTGTTCCTTGTTCTCTGCCCAGTTTATAAAAGATGAAAAGCTGACCAGCAGTATTCCAAAATATCTCTGCAGTCTTCACTCAGAACAGTAAGGATATTATTCTAAATGTTATATTTTAGATCAGAATCCTGATAAAAAAGTAGAAATTAAAAAATAATCCTGCTGCGTCCCGTTAACGTGCCCCAGGCTGATCCGCAGAAAAATGCCTAGAATAAGATTTATTATAGGGTGTGGTGAAAAGCATACCCTCCAGTCCAAACTTCAAGCCAATCAGAGCGCATGTGAGATCCTAACCTAAACCAGATATGGAGAGACAGACTCAACACAGAGAAACCTAAATCCACGAGAAAAGCAGCAGATACAGATTGACCTGGAATATTTGGCTCAAGTTTAAAGTTTTGGATCTGCGGAAGGAACTTTGTGACATGAATTCAAATACGTTTATTTAATAAAACATAGAATTCTCTTCATAAATCACTCACCTGCCTCACCACGGCCCCCTGCTGGTGTAAAACACGTCATTTTTTATTTCAAACAATAACATAAAACAATCATCTTGATTAATTATTCATTTATTAAATAATTTCAAGCATGATACCATAAAAATGTGACGATTAAAGACACCAGTCTCTACCCTGATAGTGACTTTTTTTTTAATCCACAGACATGTTTTTGTCCAGAATATAGTGATATAAAACATTAAACTTTCATTAATCACTTACAAAGTCTACGTATTGTTATTATTTTTTTTTACACACACCGGTTATGTTAGCTACTGGATAGATTTGTCATTGACGTCACGTTCTAAAAAAACTAAATAGACAAATTTTATATATTAAATGTTCAAAATCCTTCATGAAATAGCTCAAATTTACACTCTCCAGCGGCATGTAAAATGTACACAAAGTTACAAAAATCCCCCCTGGTCTCCTGCTACAGTCAGAGGGCCTAAAACGGATGAAATTTCCTCTGGACTCTGGTGTCTTCTCGCTTCTGTTCCCGTCTCCTAAGGCCACACCTCGATTTATAATCTCATAAATTACCGTGAATCTCTTTTTGTGACTTTGTTCTGTCATCCTTGGTGTCAGCTTTTGTTTTTCATAAAAACTTCCTCCTTTCTCTTCTCCTCTAATTTATTCCATTCATCTCTTCTCCAGCATCTTTGTTGTCAGTTTGCCTTCCTCATCACACCCCGACTCTCTCTTTTTCCTTTGTATTAGTCTGTTTTTTTTCACTCTCTCATTGGTTTTTCAGTGCGTTGATGTGAGCGCATATCTTGAGAGCCGGCCCCAGTTTGATATTCATGCTGGTCATCAGGTGGTCCTCGGTCAGCAGCAGCAGAGCTTGACCATCGATCTCCTGCAGCCGAAAAGCCTCGGCCACATCGCTGCAGCCTGAAACTCAAAGATTAAGATGAGTTCTGGGCTGAAGTCATCTTTAAAAATACATCTGTCCACCTTCTAAACTCCTTATTCTGGTCAGGGTCACATATCAGCAGTTTGATGAACCCCCTTCCCTGTTTCAACATAACAATAATAACTGCTAAAAAGACCATAAACACCCTTGAGTCATGGGCAGATTATCAGACAATGGGCCCCTGGGCACAGATAAACAAAGGGCTCCACCATCTCTCCTACATAGGAGCAAGACACACAGACTGCATCTTTTTGTTTCTTTTTGTTGTTTGTTGTTTGTGTCTTTGTGGTTTTGTGTTTTTGTTTTTAGTCAGTCTCTTTGAGATCATTTTGTGATTCTTCAAGGTACAATTCTGTCCTTTTGGCCGTTTTGTGTCACTTTGTAGCTATTTTGGCTGAAGTCATTTTGTTGTTTTTTTTAGGTAATTTTATGTCATTTTTTTGGTAATCTTATGTCTCTTTGTAGTCATTTTGTCTCTTTGTGTTTGTTTCGTGTCTTTTTGTAGTTTTTTTCAGTCTCTTTGAAGTAAATTAGTGTCTTACTGAGATAGTTTTGTGTCTTTTTGAGGTAATTTTATGTATTTTTGGTCAATTTGTGTCTCCTTGAAGTTGTGTTGTGTCTCTTTGTGTTCTTTCTGAGTCTCATCCTGGTCGGTGCATGTTAATTGGACATCTGACATTTTGTGAGTTAAGACCAGGGGGCCCACTGACACTTTGGGCCCCTGTGCCCATTCAGTAATCCATTCATGCATCAAGTAAAATTTTCATTGGTCCAGTTCATGTGATACATTTAGCAGTGACTGACAGGGCTAAGTGTCACCATGGCCAGTAATATAACTAAGTTTTGGTACCAAAACAACACTTTCTAGCCTTACTTGGAGAAATATAAACATATTTTTTCACTAATCCTCTTTAAACAAATTAAAGGTTCTCAGATTTAAATGTTTGTCTGAGAACCCTACAAGAAGCTTGTGTAAATAAAACAGTGTAAAATTAAATTGGTTGATTGAAGAGATCTGACCAGGCAACTTTACCTGACAGTTTTTAAAACTCTGTGCGACACATTTTGGTCCCACATAAAAAATATTGAGGCTTCCTAAAAAGATAACCATGTGAACGCAGACACCTGTTAAATATGATACGCTCACATCATATTTCCTTTACAAGTTGGCAAAGACCAGCCTGCATTATACAACTGACTGGCATACAGTAGTCTGTGGGATAAGAAGGCTGCTGCTCTCAGCTTTGGAGCAAGAACCACATTCCAAGATGGTACCTCACTCATTCCTATGAAAGCTGCTCACTTTGTACAAATGTAAATGCAAAAAAAACCCCCAAAAAACAAAAAAACCCCTCAGACTCCTGTGGGCATTTTGGGGAGTCCTTCTATGGTTTGAGGGATCTTTGAGAAATGGAAAATTGACTATTTAGACTTTTCATTTGGAGTCTAAAAAATGTATATATGTCATTCTATACTTAATTTAAAGGAATAGGTTATCCCGAATATGATCATTTGTATATCAATTACTCACCCCATGTTAAGTTAAATTCGTGAAGACAACTTAGTTGCATACCTCCATTGTGAACACAGAATGCCCACTGTTCCAACAATCACAAACTCTGGTTTGGTTGAAACAAACCCTTAATTCACCTGGTTCGATGTGAAAATATGCTGGCCCTATACATGCTAAAATTACTGCTTATTTTAATGGAGTCTGGTGGGTTACTTGACGATGGAGACTTTGGGGCTGTTTCTGGTTAAACAAAAAGGATTTTACTCTTTAACAAAAAGGTCTGTCTCTGTAGGGATCCATTCTACAATGTTGTCAGACACACACAATAACAATCTGGGCCTTTCAGTGGCAAAAATAAACACTTTTAATGGACGTACATTAACAGTGCACACATACCCACAAGGATTACATTGCAGCCTGTTTTGTCTCGCTTGCTGGACCATGTTCAAAAACTGTTGTCTGCATTAGTCACCTAACACAAAAAGGGTTAGGGTCGAGGTTGGAAAATACCAAAATCACTCTTTAACTGACAATGAAAATAATCTTTAGTTGCAGCCCTACCATGCAGGCATGTGAGAAAAACAAAGCTTTCTTCACGAATTCAATGTAACATGGGGTGAGTGACTGATATACAAATAGTCATTTTGTGGGTGAAGTGTTCCTTTAATAAATGTCATTTTAAAAAGATGATTGAGCTTAAAAGAGTGATGAGTGATAAAGGGGAGTCAGTGTTTTTAAACACACACTAATGATTGTTATTAAATGACCTAAAACCTTCAGAATAAAACCATCTTTGTTTCTGAAGTGAGCATGCTGATATTTACAGATTTTAGTTTTGCTGTGTTTTGTTTTTATTCCAGATGTGTCTCAGTGATGTCACTCACGCTGACAGCTGGGTGGTTAAAAGTATGCACGTTACCTCAGCCAGTGGTTAATTACTGTGTTTTGCAAAACACTTAATTGGATGAGGGCCGACAGAGAAGCTGTGTATGAGTCCCCGTCATCTGCTGACGATTAACACATTTGAGTGTTTGTATAAATCATACTGACGGCTTTAACAGAGGCTGCAAGTTCACATGGCATCGCAGGAGGGCCTCCCCATGTGAGTATTTATTTATTTAATATTGACATTAGACAAGACATTAGTGAGAGTTTACCTGGCAGTGTGTGTATGAAGGCAGTTACTTCCTCCACACTCCACTGGGAGGGTGCCGGTTTGAATGTGGTCGTGGGTGTAGAGGTGGTCAATGCAGGTGCAGATGCCCTCCTCGCTCTCCGCGCTGCCCGGCGCTCCATCCTGGCTGTCATGGCAACAGCAGGATCCTCCTCCCCGTCATCATCATCTTCCTCCTCCCCTCTTCCCTCCATATCCTCCTCTTCCTCCTCCTCTGCCGCCGCTGCCTTCTCCTTCCCCTCCTTCTCACGCCGCCCAGCACTCCAGAGATCACGAGGCTGCAAGGAATCAAAAGGAGAGGACGAGTGAGTTCATCGATAACACCATATAGTAACCATCAGTAACAAATTAAGAGAAGAATATGAAAAAGTAAAATATAAAAGCAAGTACTGCAACATTAATCTAATTTTAAAAATGACAACAATAATATGAAGACAGTTTGTACAATGTTTGCTTCTTAAAAGTCTGAATAAATAAAGTATTGATACATCAGTGTAAAAATATTCCAGTACAAGTAAAAATCCTGTATTATCAGCTAAATGTACTTAAAGTATCAAAAGTACTTGTTTTGCAGATCAAATGGTGTGACTGATGTAATAAATAACATTATTAATACTGTGCTCAGTGTTAGAGCGGCATGTTGCTGCTGTAGCTGCTCCAGGTGAAGCCAGTTTGAACTACTTTATAGACAGATTAGTCCAGTGATATAATCTTGTTAATTCAAAACAGGGCAAATATTT